CGCAGGCCGACGCTCTATCCACTGAGTCAAACCGGTTTCGGCACAGATAAGATTTTTTAAAATATATTTTTATTGATTTCAGAGAAGGGAGAGGGAGAGAGATAGACACATCAATGAGAGTATCATTGATCGTTTGCCTCTTGCACGCCCCCTCCTGGGAGCGAGCATATGACTTGGGCATATGCTCTTGACTGGAATCAAATCTGGAACCCTTCAGCCAGCAGGCCCAGGATTTAGCCACTGAGCAAAACCAGCTAGGGCTCAGATAAGATTTTTAAAAGAATACCAGGTATTTATATCTGAATGGTACAGGGAAAGAAATGCCAGCTTACCCTAGAAGGATGTTGGTTTCATAAAGCCAATTATAAGTATTTTGAGCTGAAGAGGGAGGGTTTATAGAAGGTAAAGGAATTTAGTGGGCTTTGTTGTTCTAGACCAGCCGTGGGCAAACTACGGCCCGCTAGAAATGAACTAAAAAAAAAAAGACCGTACCCTTTTATGTAATGATGTTTACTTTGAATTTATATTAGTTCACACAAACACTCCATCCATGCTTTTGTTCCGGCCCTCCGGTCCAGTTTAAGAACCCATTGTGGCCCTCGAGTCAAAAAGTTTGCCCACCCCTGCTCTGGAGCCACACCTCTGGCCCTATAAAGACTTTACCTATAGGTGCTCTTACTACTGGGAGCATACTCCTGCCTTTCCCTTTCCCTTCCCCCTCCCTGCCCCAGGCACCTTACCATTAGCTTCCTCATTCCCAAGATTCAAGGGAGCTTCCTTTACTTTTTTAACTTGTTTCCTAAACCCATGTCTTCTGGCGATTACTTTTTCTACCTCTGTGATTTACCAAGTAAATGTTCTCTTGCAAAAATATATGCATAAGCCCTAGCCGGTTTGACTCAGTTGATAGACCACCATGGGCCAGAGGACTGAAGGGTCCTAGGTTCGATTCTGGTCAAGGGCATGTACTTTGGTTGCAGGCTCCATCCCTCACCCTGGCCCCAGGCCTGGTGGGCCTGGGAGGCAGCCAGTTGAGGTGTCTCTCTCAAATCCAAATTTATCTCTGTCTCTCCCCCCTCCCTTCCACTCTCTTTAATCCTCAGGTAAGGATTAACAAACAAACAAATAAATAAATAAAAATATATGCATAAGCCAGGGACACAGACAATAGGTTGGTGATGGCCTGGGGCCTGTGTTTGGGGGCAGGGAGGGCCATAGGGAGTCAATGGGAGAAAAAAGGGGACATATGTAATATTTTCAACAATAAAGATTAAAAACAAATCCTGGGTCATAATTTCACATCTGGATTCTTACTAAAAACAAACAAGATTGCTTTTGAGTATTTTCTCATAGTTTCCAGCTGAAAAAGGGATGGGGAAGGCTGTACATTGAATAGTGAAAGATCAGACAGAGGCCGAAAACCAGGACTATAGGCTTTATTAGAGGAGAAGGACCTGCCGGGCTGTCTCACAAGGGGAGGACCGCAGCACATGCAGGGGTGGGCAAGCCTTTTGAGGGGCGGAATGGGAAGCGGTGGGGGGGCTTAGTGTACTCAGTGCACTAAGTACACTACATGTAGGACAACGGCTGAGGGTATTTGGCAGGTGTGGATTGGTGGTCCAATGTATAGTCCATATAAGGTACAGGGTTAGTCACTCGGGTATTTCTGGGCTGCAGGTTACGTCATACTCTGCCCACCAGTTGAGGGAAGGGAAGATCTATCAAATAGGAGATGAGAAAAAGAAGATGGGGGCAGCTGGGGATTTGTTCTACTTCCTGTAGAAAATCAGCAGTTAATGTTGGTGCTCTTTGCTAGAATTCAGTACAAGTATTGGGGTGAGGGGCAGCAATTATAAATTTAATTAATCTCAGTTGCTTAACAATGTTAGCTGCATTGAAAGGTGTAGCTTATAAAATGAAATTGTAAATCTAAAATACACATCCATAAAATATCAAGCTAATCAGCTGTTTATGACACTTCTCCTCTACTTTCCCTCACCAGCAGACTTCCCCTTAGAACAGCGTCTCTCAACCTGTGGGTCGCGACCCCTTTGGCGGTCGAACGACCCTTTCACAGGGGTCGCCTAAGACCATCCTGCATATCAGATATTTACATTACTATTCATAACAGCAACATTACAGTTATGAAGTAGCAACGAAAACAATTTTATGGTTGGGTCACAACGTTAGGAACTGTATTTAAAGGGCCAGAAGGTTGAGAACCACTGCCTTAGAAGCATCAAAGATTTAGGATGAGCCAGACAAGGAAACTTTCTCAGTTAACGTAATTAGAGTTTAATCCGAAAATGGGGGAAACTGCCCTTATCTGCTCTGCTCTAGAATGCGCCAAGTCTGGTTTACAAACCAGTAGTCATCTCAGGAAGTGGAATTTGAAAAGAAAAAAAAAAACGCTAAATTTTAAGGCAACCTTAGTGAGACACACCCATAGAGGCTCCTGATAAATTTGCCAGCCAATGGCCAAGAAGGCTTGATTATTTTATTGGAGAGCAGACGGCCCAATTATCTATTAGTCCACTAACAGGACTACTCTCACTCACCTGAGTCCCTGTAATCACCGCCATTTACATTCCAATAGGCTGTTTGATTGGCTAACCTGCATTATTTAGATTAGCTCTTTCCCCACATTTTGATCCTGCTCTTTCTGGGCTACTTCATATCCATTTGAGAGCTTTGAGCTTCACCTTCTGCTTGAGCTCTTTTCAGCCGGAATCTAGGAAGAACTTGGGGCTGTGACTCGACTTCCAATGGACTCACCAACGAAGCCTAACACACCCTCGACCCAGGAGTTTTCTCAGACGCCTGGTGAAGGATATGCAGGTATGATGGATGCTGCCCTTTTTGACTATAGGGGTCGGGGAAGTGAGGAGCCTACCCTCCTTACTGAGGATGACTTCAGTGTTTTAAAGAATACAGGACCCTCCAGTGGGGGTGTGGGGTGGGGGGAAGCACAGTTTTTTAATCTTGGGGAGAGGAAAAAAAGGGAAGAGTATTAAACTGCCTTGCTTGCTTACAATGCGTAGGAAGACTTCAATGTTTTCAGTCCACTTTCTGGGGAAGAGCAACCAAAATTCGGAGAGAATCTCGCAATCAGTATTTCCATCAGCAGTACATGTCGGGAATGGTGGAAAGGAACAAAACACAAGAAACTTAACTTCAATTTAACCTAAAGTTTTTATATATTTTTTTATTATTAATTTCAGAGAGGAAGGAAGAGTGAGAAAGATAGAAATATCCATGTTGAGAGAGAATCATTGATTGGCTGCCTCCTGCACGCCTTCCCACCGGGGATCATCCCGAAACCAGGACATGTGCTCTGACCGAGAATCCAACCATAACCTCCTGTTTCATAGGTCTCAACCCCTAGGCCAAGTTGGCCGGGCAAGATTTCTGAATCTTGCCAACATTTTCAGGCTCGTCTTTCTAGCTAAATCTTCCCAACGTTTTCGGGATTGTCTTTCTAGCTAAATCTTCCCTTTAGGAAGATTAATAAACAGGAAAATGGCTTTTCAGGAAACGCAGGGAAGGGTTGGGTTTATAAACACCAGTGAATGTGCTCCAGGTCCTACATCATCACCCACACTATTCAGCCACCATTTGTCAGGATAATGTTTCAAAGGAGTGAGCCTGAGGGTGGGTGAGGCTCCCGGAAAAATTAGGCCACAGAAAGGAGGCAGGAAGGTGGGGACCTACTTAGCAGAATTCTGGAACACTGCTTCTAAGAAAGTCCTAATTTATATCATAAGCCCATTCACAGCCTTATTATTGTATGACATGAATGTGTATGAGATATGCATAGTGGTTTGCATGGGAAGAGGCAAGAGTTAAGTGGTTGACTTCCCATAATATCGGGTTTGAGTAGAAAGATTTACTACCATGAAAAATCTGAGTGTAACTGTGAGAAGCCATTTAAACTTCCTAGCTCTGCTTAAGGCTGGGGAGAGACTGTTGTAAGTGGGTTTTCTTTAACTATTTCACTGGAGTGGTTCTTTTCTAGAAAAATTTAGTGGATTTACAGTTACAAGGTTGAACTGCTGAAACATTTTGATTTATTAATGCTTTATGTCCTCTTATTTTTATTAAGCATTCACACAAATGAAAATGAAATAACCTCCAATACCTAGTTTCTGTCCCATAATTTTCCTCTTGGAATTATATACTTAGCTCCTTTTTTAAAAAATATTTTTTAATTGATTTTTTTTTTTTTACAGAGAAGAAGGGAGAGGGATAGAGAGTTAGAAACATCAATGAGAAACATTGATCAGCTGCCTCCTGCACGCCCCCTACTGGGGATGTGCCCACAACCAAGGTACATACCCTTGACCGGAATCGAACCTGGGACCTTTCAGTCCACAGGCCGACGCTCTATCCACTGAGCCAAACCAGTTAGGGCAACTTAGCTACTTTTGATGTCATGAAAAAATATAACATTCAGAACTAACAAAAGCAGGAAAGAGAAAGGTTTGAAGGCAATGTTTCCCATAATAGTGGATTTTAAAGCACGTTCTCAATGTATGCCCTCCACTGTGCAGAGTTCTCGACTAGCACAGTCGGTAACGCAGTGGGTAGAAGGAATCCTCCACCTGAGAAATCTCCATTGTCCATGTTCACCTGTTTAAGAGCAGGCCTAGTTTGAGCCTGCAACTAATGACTTGGGATAATTCAGTTTACCCTAATGGATCTTTTTTTTTTCTTTCTTTCAGCTGACCCTCGAGCTGTCTCAGGACTAGCACAGAACCTTAGTAACTTGACTCTCAACCCTAGTACCGAATCCCCTTCCCTTCCACCAAAACCTTCACCCCAACAGGAGGACATAGGAAACGACTTGAAGGCGTCTGGACTGGGGCTGAATCAAGGCATGCTTTACACGAGGAGACGCGGAGCGAGGACGGTGGCCAGTGTTCAGAAAGAAATGAAGGACATGAAAGAGAGGGTTCGATTGATGCTGATAAGAAGGGCGGATGCTCTTAAATATCGCACCTTGTATCTGGTGAGTTTAGTGATCTGGGCCTACAGTTCTCCCAGGGGAGGGTGGGGATGCTCATAATGTAATTTTTTTTTTCTTTAGAGCTGTTTTAGGCTCACAGAAAAACTGAGCAGAAAATGCAGAATTCCCATGTACCTTCTGACCCCACACATTCATAGCCTCCTGCACTGTCAGCAGCTCGCACCAGAGTGCCAGTGCTTTAGGTGATGAATCTACATGGAGGCATTATCATCTCCTAAATATAGTTTACATTAAGGTTCACTCTTTTGGTGTATGTTTACTTTTCCATATGTTGTCACAAACTGGATGCTCATGCCAGTACTGTGTGGTATTGGACAAACCCCTGATTGACAACCAGCAGCTGTTACCCTTACAAAATGGCCCAAGCTCTGATATTTTTAGGTACTCGTGCATTTCAATTCTGCCTCCTCCCCCCTACCACCCCTACAAAGGTTAATTGTTTTTCTTTTTTTTAGTGTACCCTATTTCAAATGCTATTTAGATTTGAGGGTACAATTGGTCTTTTCATTATTCATAACACAATCCATTTCTTTTTCTTTTTTTTTTTTTCAGAATAAACCAGGATTTAAATGTGGCTGTAGTCATTGCCTATTACATCCAGATCCTCTTGATTGTATTATTGGCAACCATTGCATGGAGCCATTTTAGATGTACACCTTATTCTGTACTTATTGGAGTTATAACATTTGTTTGATGTCCTATTTCAATTTTTCGTAGCAAATGTGTGTATAGGGCATCTCTAATAAACTTGAGGCATATCTGAGACATGTTTATTCTTGTTCTTGTTCATTGATTGAATTTATTGGGGTGACATTATGAAATTATATAGCTTTCTGGTGAGCAGTTGTATGATACATCATTTGTATACTATATTGTGTGTTTGATAAGAAGCAATAAAAATTTCAGGACACATAGATTAAGGAAACTTAGAACTATAGTTAAAGAGCAGTTTGCAGCCACCTAGTAAGTCCCATCTTCCCTAAACCAAGGACACTTCAGGGTAAATGGTTTGCACTTCTCCCCAACCAGAGGGCAAATAGCTTAAATCACCCTAAGTCAGGGGGGTAAATAAGATAATATAAATCCAATTAAGAGAATAAATCTCATTTTGGTGCATCAGCATAAAGCTAGTGAATATTCTATTTCTACCCATAAGCTCTCCCCTAAATACCCACCCTTCCAAATCCCTGAAAATGAAGCCACCAGAGACCTTGCCCATACCATTCTCTTCCCCCTCTACTCACCGAACCCCTGGGGACATATCCCCTAACCTCTAAGGGACCCCAGGAGACTTGCAACCAGGGAAGCCATGGGCAGCAGCACCTCATCCTGAGCCAAATCCCTGACCCTTTCTCCAAGGTCCCCTTTTCCCCCCATTTCTCTGACTTCGCAGAAAGCCAAAGCAGCCCAGCCTAGGCTCTCCTGCTGGTTCTTTATGCCCTTCCTTGTTTCATTGCCCTAAGTAGGTTTTTGGTGAGGTCAGTAAATTCTTGCTTGCTTTTCTACACTTTTGTCATTTAATGGAAATCTTTCCCTCAAGAAAACAAGAACCGAGGTCTCCTCTCCAAGTAACATGTTCATCCCCTTGTTCATAGTCTTTATTTTATACTTGACTAGAGGCCCGGTGCACGGGGGGTGGGGGGGGGTGTTGTCCCTCAGCACAGCCTGCACCCTCTCATAGTCTGGGAGCCCTTGGGGAATGTCCAACTGACAGCTTAGGCCCACTCCCCTAAGCCACAGTCTGGCCTCCCTCTGCAGGAGGCAACCAGTGGGCCGATCAGGGGATGGTGCTGGCCGGCCCTGCCCCCCATCGCCCCGCCACCAGTGGCCTTCCTCTACAGGAGGTGACTGGCGGGCCAACTGGGGGATGGCACTGGCTGGCAAGCGGCTGGCCCTGCCCCCCATCACCGCCCCACCACCGCCGGTCGCCACCCTCCTATTGCTGTCCCCTCCCTCTGCCCACTGGCACCCACCTTGGCTGGCCTGGTGCCACCTTCTCACCAGCCCCACCCCCTGCCAACCTGTCGTTCTGCCATTTGGTTGATTTGCATATTAGGCTTTTATTATATAGGATTTTTTTTTTGGTTTGGTGAAAATATAGGATTTTGCTAGCAATGAATAATCATTCTCATCTTCATCACATTCCTATGATGTCAATATCTGGGATTCTAATATTTTGTGATATTTTCCTACTGGATAGGAAGTTTACACATTCTCTCACCATGGCAGGAGAAAATATCTTAAAAGGCTGGAGGGAAAGAAAACATTCATGGTAACTCATTTCATATGGTTGGATTTTTTATTTTATTATTTATTTTTACTTTATATTTTTCAAACTTTCTGCAATGAAATAAAATATATTTACTTAAAGGGGCATGCAAACTTTACATTAAAGGAATTTGATTACATGCTGACTTATTTATTTATTTTATATATTTTATTGATTTTTTACAGAGAGGAAGGGAGATGGATAGAGAGTTAGAAACATCGATGAGAGAGAAACATCGATCAGCTGCCTCCTGCACACCTCCCACTGGGGATATGCTCGGTACATTCCTTTGACCGGAATTGAACCTGGGACCTTTCAGTCCGCAGGCTGACGCTCTATCCACTGAGCCAAACCAGTTAGGGCCTTATTTATTTTTAAATAATAGTTTATAGAGCCCAGCTGGCATGGCTCAGTGGTTGAACATTGACCTATGAACCAGGAAGTCACGGTTTGATTTCAGGTCAGGGCATATGCCACTTTCCTACCCATTGCAAGAGGGAACCCCTGAGCATGATTGTCTAGAAGTCCTAATGGAGGTTTACTCCAGCCAGCCAGATCTAACAGATAGGTCTTTACAGAATCCAGACAGAGTATTGTTCACGGATGGCAGTAGCTTCCTAGATGAAGGAAAAAGACAAGTCAGGTAAGCAGTGGTATCAAACTTGGAGGTAATAGAAGCACAGGCCCTGCCTGAAGGATGGTCAGTGCAGAGGGCAGAACTTTGGGCCCTAGTCAGAGCCTTAAATCTCAGTAAGGCTAAGCATGCCAACATCTACACTGACTCACGCTATGCCTTTGCCACCCTGCATGTCCATGGGGCCATATACAAGGAAAGGGGGCTCCTGATGGCCAGAGGAAAAGGAATCAAAAATCAGAATGAGCCAAAACCAGTTTGGCTCAGTGGATAGAGCTTCGGCCTGCGGACTGAAAGGTCCTGGGGTCGATTCTGGACAAGGGCATGTACCTGGGTTGCGGGCACATCCCCAGTAGGAGGTGTGCAGGAGGCAGCTGATCGATGTTTCTCTCTCATCAATGTTTCTAACTCTCTATCTCTCTCCCTTCCTCTCTGTAAAAAATCAATAAAATATATTTTTTAAAAAATCAGAATGAGATATTGAAGTTACTAGAAGCAGTCTGGGAACCCAAGGAAGTAGCTGTCATCCTTGTAGAGGACACCAAAAAGGAAAAGACTCAGTGTCAGAAGGGAACTGTCACGCAGACGCAGCAGCAAGGCTAACTGCTGAGGGGCCGGTGGCACCATCGAGGAGCATGCTGGTTCCTGAATTACCTGAACCTCCGAAATACACCCCTCAAGAAGAAGAATGGGCCCAACGAGAAGGGGGTAAAAGGACAATGGAAGGTTGGTGGATATTCCTAGATCATAGGGTATACAATCCACAACAGTTAGCTCATAGAGTAGTACCCATTTCTGGAAGACGGCTCTAGCAGATACTATCTAATTGCCCGTCTCTCCTCCTTATGTGCCTCAGTCTCTCAGAGCTTCCTCCTCTGTGCACAGAACAATGCAAGGCAGGCTCTTGTAGGACCGATAGAAATTCAGTGCTGTGGGTAGGCTCCCTTTGAAGATCTAGAGGTAAACTTTACAGAATAGGGCCTAGTAGAGGAAATAAATGTATTTTAGTTTTTGTCTGCACCTTTTCAGGCTAGGTTGAGGCATATCCTACCCACACAAAGAAGGCGAGAGAAGTCACTAAGGCGTTACAGAAGGACATAACTCCGTGGTATGGAATGCCATTAACCATCAGGTCAGATAATGGCCCAGCCTTTGTAGCTGAGGTAGTAGAGCAGGTAGCTAAGACCTTAGGAATTAAGTGGAACTTACATACAGCCTACAGGCCCCAGAGTTCAGGGAAAGCAGAACACATGAACCGGACTCTCAAACAGACTATGGCTAAGCTATGTGCTAGGAGACGAACTTACTATGGATAGATATCTTATTCTCCTCTGTTATCTTCCTAGCCATCATCTATCCTGAGGTTTGTTTGTTTGTTTTTATCATCTGGTCATCTCTATTCCTGAATATATCTTCCTTATTGTATACTTAGGTTTTATGATAGTATATGTAACTATTAGTTTGTTTTGTTTTTGTGTGTGTTCTTTTAAAAATATTTTTATTGCCCTAACCGGTTTGGCTCAGTGGATAGAGCATCAGCCTGTGGACGCCAGGGTCCCAGGTTCGATTCCGGTCAAGGGCATGTACCTTGGTTGCGGGCACATACACAGTAGGGAGTGTGCAGGAGGCAGCTGATCGATGTTTCTCTCTCATCGATGTTTCTATCTACCTCTCTCCCTTCCTCTCTGTAAAAAAACCAATAAAATATATATTTAAAAAAAATATTTTTATTGATTTCAGAGAGGAAGGAAGAGAGAGAGATAGAAACATCAATGAGAGAGAACAATTGATCGGCTGCCTCTTACACACCCACACAGGGGATCGAACCCATAATCCAGGCATGTACCCTTGACCGGAAACAAACCGGGGACCCTTCAGTCCCCAAGCTGTTGCTCTCCACTAAGCCAAACCGCCTAGGGCAGTGGTCGCAAACTGTGGCTCACGAGCCACATGAGGCTCTTTGACCCCTTGAGTGTGGCTCTTCCACAAAATACCACAATCGGGCGTGCATGTACAGTGCGATTGAAACTTCGTGGCCCATGCGCAGAAGTCGATATTTTGTGGAAGAGCCACATTTAAGGGGCCAAAGAGCCGCATGTGGCTCGAGAGCCGCAGTTTGCTGACCACTGGTAGAGCAACCATTCATTTTGTTTGGTTCTTCAGCTTCTCATTCTTCAATCTTAAAAAATATGTTGGTGTGTGTGCTCCCAGACCATGTGTGTGCACACCCTTCTGAAGGAGTAAGATATTTGCCTTGCTGCCTGGCTCCCAACTGTGCTTTGTGTTCTACCAGGACCGCTGATTTTGGGCGCTTGCATTATTTCTAACAATACTATTTAGGACAGTTAATACTTTTCAGATTTTGGAGAGGGGTTTATATTCTAGTGCTGAGTTGTTGGACAAAAAGCACATTGCAAAGCATCTTTTTTAAAAAAAAATCTTTATTGATTTCAGAGAAGAAGGGAGAGGGAGTGAGATAGAAACATCAATGATGAGAGGGAATCATTGAGTGGCTGCCTCCTGCACGCCCCACACTGGGGATCGGGCTGCAACCCAGGCATGTGCCCTGACTGGGGATCCAACCGTGACCTCCTGGTTCATAGGTCAATGCTCAATCACTGAGCCATGCTGGCAGGGCTCAAAGCATCTTTTATGACAGTTTAAGAGAAATCAAACTGAAGTCTTCTGTTTATATATGAGCAAAAGTGCACTTATGCGTTTATCTTCACTTTCCCTTCCCAATAAAAAAAA